CTGGTCGGTAGTTTGAACATACATACATACATACATACATGCAGACTTCTACCAACCAAGAACAACTGAAGTTCTCCCTGAATTACTATTTACCTTGATGACAGAGTTACAATCATCACAGCACTTTTCTGAGACGGTTTACCAGCTCTTTCTTACAACACTTTTCCACTGAATGGGAAATAGGGACCGTCATCTATTCGTTCAAGACACGATCCAAAGGTTTCTACAGTTAGTCGCGTCAGGTATGCACGGACCACGAAAAAAACTGTTGCCCAAAAATTCCCTAGAATTGTCTTCCAGTGTATCAAGGACCGTCCGACGAGTGACCGGTGTTTGTTTTGCTGACCTCAGTTCGCAGTAATTCGGACCCTTAAAACACTAAATAAAGGTTGGTAAATCCGTGTTGGTTTGCGAAAATCCAAAATACGTAGGTCGACATAATCGCAGTACTCGTAACGGGGTCCTTGTCACTCACCGGATTCATTTCCCTACTTGGTGATACTTGTGAGGAAAATTCTCACCATAAAGAATGGCGGGGCTCTAAAAAGTTTTCTCAACTAAGGGTATGAATTACGTGGAGCTTTCTGTGAAATGGGAGCATTGATACTGTTACCAGCTACTTATCCGTGAAGAATAAAAAAATCAACATTATAAATCCTCTGTAAGTGCAGCCTTGATGGATGAATTTTGGGATCTTTTCCAGATAAGCCCCGCCACTTTTTGCGAGCTCCAATGCAATGTACGCACACAACCTTGACCTATTTTTTGATAAAAACAATTCCTTATCCTCATCTAGGCTCATTTTCTGCAAAAATTCTCCCAGTCCGGAAGTAAAACCTTAAATCGACTTTCTGTCGCTCTCAACTCTCGTTCATGACAAGGAGATGATAATGCGTTTTTTGTAAAGCCACGGAGTGATCCATCAGCAACGTTTATGCAACAATGCTCACCAAATGACTCCAACGGTTAGTTATACCCAAAACTTTGTGGATCCAACGACTGAAGTTCACACACAAACCATCCAATCTCTTTGGCACGTCTACAAGATGCAGAATAAACCCCAATGCTGCACACACCGATCTTTAGTGGACAGCTGCTTGTGTGAGTTCTTTTGGAGGCAAAGGTATCGGAAAATGGACCTTTTCATTCAACTTATTAATGAAATGTCCCAATTTCACCCTCTTCAATGAAAACTAAGAGTACAACTTTCATATCCTCTTTTTCCTAGTCTTTTTTGGATGGCGGGGGTTAATTTTTGGTGGGGCTTATCTGGAAAAGATCCGAATTTCGTACCTTCGTTTCTAGGAATCGAAAAAGCATACAAACACAGTGTTGTAAGCACTACAGCTGAGGGGTAAAAACACCCACTGATGCGTTGGAGACAAATCAACCCTCAGATGAGTCCAAATGGAAACCTGGAAACTGAAGACTCCGGACACGAACGTATATGCTATATTGCTATCAGTTGCATCGTACGGTCAGCCGCGCTATATTCCTCATGTGAAGGACCCTTTGCAATTTCAAATGTCATCGTTCGCTTAAGCTTTTTGGAAGCCGAGTACTTCTTAATTATCTTCCATCCGCTAGCTAACTAATGAACATTTGTGAATGGATGCGATTGGCATTCTATCGCACGAAAACCATCCCTACCCTAGTTTAACAGTAGCAGAAACACGGTTATCAAACAAGCCGTGGAAGAATGAGACTTTCCTGCACGTTTCACCTGCAAGTTGTGGACTGTCTCGAAGCCATTTAGCAACGCACAACTCTCGTGAGCTTCACAACACTGATGATATCATTCCCCCGTCGGTAGTGAAACGTTTGCCAAGTTCAGCAAACAACTCGACCACTAGGTGAACCAACTGAGTTAACAAAACTGTTCTAAATCACACCTGGCGTGTTTTGGTCATGTGAGGTCAATGGAAGGTAACACCTAAAGTGACCTGTCACCAAGTGTCTTGCTACCTCCACACACGGTGACTTCGCTTTCGTTCCGTAATTGACCACTTATCAGCATGTCAACTCACTAGCAGGTCAATACCGATCACTTAGCTATCGAGTCGACCAAAGTCGCGTGTTCGCTTGCCGGTTTATCTGTGGGAGAGACGTGCTCTCACGTCATCACTGCGAGCCATAGAACACAACCACCAAAGCGCCACATCAACGAACCATGAGTCCAGTGGCACGTGGTCCACCGGCATCTGCACTTGGAACGGCACTGAGGCCTCAGAACCGTTGCTATCTTGTTTCTACGGGCAGCGGACAATGTGTCGCCACCACGTAGTTTCGTTTGTCACAGAGACCACAAAGCTGGCCACATAAAGGGCTTGACGGCTGAGCTTTGACAAGACTGTTACGTGCCAGTATCGCACTGCGAAAAAGCTCCAATATTGTTGGATTGACTGGACCAGCAAACCGTTCTTGCCACAGCATATGTACTTCAAGACTGTTGGGTCACTTGTGAAAAGCCCAGAGACGCCGTGTTAATGTGGCCATCCGGAACGATGATTAGTCCTTCAAGTACACCATTTGAGCTGGTCTCAGCCTTCTGAATGTGTGATGCGCACTGGTAGATGCACTGACCAACAGTGTGTAACCGAATGCCATTCATTCGTGTATGAACAAGCAAAGGCACTACTTGCGATCGACAATCTCCTTACAGACCAATAAAAACAGTGATAAAAACTCAGAACGCCCAACCATCTCGAAGCATTTCGTAATTGTACCAAACGAATTAGGACCAAGGTCCACGCATCAAAAACAGTCATTTCAGAAGCTAACACAAATGCCAGAAAAATAAATATCAGTTACTCATAAGACCATCAGTCTCTATCGCCCCCTGGTTCATTAACTCCTCTCTTCACGGCTAGTGAAGGATTTAAACTCTCCCGGCCGCCAAGCTTTCACCGATGATGTAAATCCAAGCCAGGTACAGACAAGGTTAAACGGAACTTCAAGTGGTCATATTTCTGGTATTGTGTACTGCATTCCTTCCTCTTTGACAAGGTTCCTCCGCACATCCAATTCCTTAGACTAGTAGTGATGTAAAGTGGTGGTTTAGCAGTGAAAACTAGATATTTACACTGGCCTGAACTAAAGAAAAACATATCACTGCACGTCGGTAGGGTATACTTTATCCGTGAAGCTTACCGACTACTTATATCAGTTGTACGTCAGGATGCTTGCCAGCTCAACCAAACCTGGTTTTAGGGGTCCGAGGTGAATAAGATCCGTCTACATGAGCTTTTGGTATGCAACAACGTATCCAGTTTATGTATCTGCTGTGAAGAGGTTGGTGGTGGCAGCTCCACGGATTGACATAAAGACATAGTTTCAAACAGGATCCTGCGGGCATAAGCGAATTCAAGGGTGGGATTGTTCTGGAAACAAGTTTACTCTAGTATTCAAATCGTCAGACGACTTGAAACTGTGATTTTTCATGTTTCTACTGATTACTGAAAGGTAATTGGCCAGATGTTGTGAAAGGCTTTTGGGGCCTTACGCAGACCTTCAGGCGAACATCAGTGACTATGTCGGACCACATCAGTTTTGCTAAAAGTTGCTTTGGAGAAAAGTAATTAATATCCATGAATTGAATGGTAGAGACTTTTGCCATGAGGAATTACGGAGTAGGATTACTCTCGTCTAAATCCTCTTCTCCTGGTGACGGTTATCCAAAACGGCGTTCCTAGGCTGCGTAAATAATCACAGTACATACAAGTTTTTATTACACAGTGGAAAAATCAGCTAAATCCATAATGGGCTTGTTAGTTGGTTGAAACTTTGTGAGTTTACTGTACTTATGTAAAAATGTAAGAATCATAGACCTACCAGATAATCCCAGTGCTTGAAAACGCTTATTTCTGCCCTTTCTACTCAAGTAAGGAAAGTGGTGAAGTGGTTGGCTACTGAGTAAAATACGTCATATCGACGACGTCGGTCGCCAGCATTTTTTACAAAAACAAGCCTGTTTTAGCGGCCTGAGTAAATAGGTCTGGGAAAGAAGCACTCAGAAACACTATCGATTGGCCTGAGAGCAAAGCACGAAACGGTTGTTTGCCATTAAACTAGTGATGTCACTTATCGACCTTTCACCCCCGTACCCGTCCTCTTACATATAGTAGTGATGATTATGGGGATACTCGGTTGTGATAATGGATAGTTTGGTGATAGTTCAAAAAACAATTGTTTACTGATGATGGTGATAATGATGGTAATGGCGAAATTCGGCCACTTTGAACAGAAGCCCAACCACTCCACCCCTTAACAACGCACTGATGATGTCGGGTGATGAGATTTGTGCAATCGAATTACCCTATTCATCGAACAAAGCAACGACCGAAAGCCTGTTAGTTCGCGGCAACGTTTCCACCACAACAGTAGGAGCATCGGTGTATTAATACCGTTGCTTAACTGTCGTGTTATGTCCGTCTCGTGCACCAGAAGCTGCGTTGGTTGGGACATATGTTGCGTATACCGAACCATCGTTTGCCGAAGAGAGTGCTGTTTTCCATGCCTAATTCGGAGTGGCAGAAGTAGAGAGTTGGCTAACCCTTGACCTGGCAGAGGGGTAAGAGACCACGACACGTTTGAGCGCTGTCGGTGCTACTCGCCTTCCAGGATGGGACCCACGTGATCCCCATTGCACCTGCTTGGAGACGCTGCAAGATATGGTTGCCAACCGATGTCAGTGACGTTCTTGTTTTCAGTTTCTATCCAGATTGCCTGAGTGAATGTCTGGAGGTGTAGGCACCTCGGAATGATTGTGTTAAGCTAGCACTAAGTCCCTTCTCCGTCCACCTTTAATATTTTCTTTAGAATAAGGCTTTCAAATAAATCATGGTTGTACGGCAGTGAAGCATCGGTGTTGAACACCGATGTCATGCTGTCGATGATGATGATGATGATGATGATGATGATGACGATGATGATGATGACGATGATGATGACGATGATGATGATGATAACCCCAAACAAGAAACGGGATTAGAAGAGAACAATATAAGTACATAACGAGCAATTTAATGAGCACTAGACTTCAGTGGAGGGTCTGATTTTAATTGACACATTGCAGACGGAAACAGAGGTGCACGTCAACAGTAGCTTCCAAGTGCAGCAGCTACTGCTGCTGTTGTTGCCGTCACCCAATATTCATTTGTGAACGACACCAGTCGCATCATTCCCTCCATTGACAAATCACAAATAATACAGAATGATTGGAGAGAAAAATCAGTTAGTCATCAGTTTGTCACTCGTTCCGTGAAAAACATGTGGGACCAAATGGAAAAATATGTCGTTTGCAAGTAATCCACCGGTGAAATAGTTTCTCGCCCCTACTACTCATAAGATACTGTACAGGGTTATCGTTATTGAAACGAGGATGATGGCATGTGTCCACAATTGCATACCGGGATAAAAGTGCCTTCGTGTGTTTGATGGAGAAAAATGAGTGGCAAGCCAGTGGTTAAGCTCATCACAAGAAAAAATGGCAAAAATATGGTCACAATGATTACTCGGTGAACACTTTTCGTTTCGGGTAATACACTGTAAAACAACTCGTTTCCACTAGAGTAGTCTGCTGGAACAAGGTCCCTTATGAGTTAGTGTGATGACAAGATTATGGCAAGTTGGCACACAAGTAAGAAATAAAACAACGGATCAGGAAGATGGACGGTTTACAGTGGGAGTCGTAGTATCGAAGTCAGTGAAGGAAGAAAGAGCGCTGGTCAGAGAAATGGTAGGTTTTCTTCTTCCTGGCTATAAGATAGTTTTTGGCGCTCTGAGATAAACGTTTAACCACGTCACAGATAACGCTTTGAAGCGGGGCTGGGGAGGCGAACACCAGTTGGCTCATTTCGGACCCTTGAATTTTCAGATGAAAATGTGACTACTTGTGTTTGAGTTGTTACGAGCAAATAAAAAGGAGTAAAAAGAATTTTGCTTGGTCAAACCGAACATAAAGAGAGAAACTATGAGGTGAAAACTTTCAAGGAGGCTGTGGATAGGTTTATAAGGCCGGTTTACAGTCTAATAGCCAGGCGGACTATCTTTCGATCAGTGTATTGGAAGTGGACTAACATTAAAACAAATGGCAATGGACAAATCCAATATCCATGCACTCCGACCATCTTAAAATGTTGGGTTACATGACTAGACAGATGTGGAAACTGAAAGACCAGTTTGCAGAGAGTGGTTAGCCATGGGCTGCTGATTAGAAAGCGTTACGTTTGCGTTTGGAATTGTAACAGAGGGTTGTGTTTGTCCAAGTAGCCCAAGCAGGGAGTTCGCATTGTTTGAGAGGGTCGCTGCGTTCGGTTGCGATGGATTTGACAATATGGTTTGAGTGTGTAGACCAAGGTTGTACAACCCAGTGTGCTGCAAGTGGCTTGTGGAAATGGTGCAAGAGTTTTGTGCTAGTTCCGTGGAGCAACTAACAGGGGCCTGCGGCAAGCTTACGATCGACTGAAGCCCGGGCATATTACCCCCTGTACCGACCATCATCGCTGGAGCGGGCCCAGCGGATATTCCGTTAGGATCCAAAAGGTAGGTTGGTGAATTAGTGAATGGAGCAATTAGTCCAGCAGCCGCAATGGATCCGGGGATAAAAGTTGACGGATAGTCGAATCCGTTCAGTGCCAGTGCTGACGCGCACTCCGGTGGTGAGCGCAAACCAACAGCCTGCTGACCGATAGTTTGCCCCGGAACATTCGTCAGGGACAGATTGCTTGTCTGTGGTTGTAAAAGGCCCAGTGCGTTATTCCCGTTCTGGATCGGCAACAGTGTTGTCCCTGACTGCATCATATTCGAACCAAGAGTCAGGGCATAATTTGCTGCCAAGGCTGAAAAGAACAGAAACAACAGAACCACTGTAAGCACTGAATCCGATTCAGGGGATCAAACGTAACACAAAAACTGTAAACCCAAATCAAACAGGAAAGTCTATGTCATGGGCACGGAATCTACCTGGTAACTGAGGCATGTTGATGGGCTGTATTGTGGCTAGTTGAGGAGTTTGCATTGATTTCACCGTATGCAAATGGGCGCATGCTATTTGCTGCTGTGTTGGGTTGTTCAGTTTTTGTGACATAGACAACCCGGCACAGGCTCCCAAACCATGAGCAGATGAGGGTGGATACATCACCGGGCTAGGTGTCAGTCCGGGGATAGCAACCAAGGTGGTGGGTTGGGTGCAAATCAATCCACGTGATCTGACCACATTCCGGCAAGCTGCCGACGTAGAAGGTAAGTCCTGCCCGGGTGTATTGACTGTTTCCAATTGACCGGTGGATTGGGTTGCTGAATTGGTGGTGCCAAACGGACATAACACAGTAGACCCGACACTTGTTGGAGTTACTTGGGTTTCGCTCCGACCTGAAGTATCAACACTCTCTTGACCGGAGGCAGTGTTCAAGTTACTTGGTGAAGATGTCATTGGCGTGGTAATTGCTGTTGTGTGGACATTTGGGTAGGTGCCCGAACTAAACATGAATTGGGACCCTGGAACAGCCAAAGTAGGGACTGAACCGACAGGAATCTGTACCTGTAGTGCTTGGGTCGTTGCGGGCACTAGTGATGATGCACTCAGTAAACCCTCACAAGAAGCAAACGTAGACTCTCGTACTGGGGTGTAAATTGTGTCTGTTTTGAAAACAAAGGGATATAACACAGGAAGTGAAGCTCAACTTGAACGCGGAAAGTTCCCGTTCATTTCTACACTTGGAATTATTGCACTAAATGTACTCATATGTACTTATTTAAACCTTAGATGATTTAGGGTAAGCCGTCACCTAGTCAGAAACGAATGGAAGTCAAATTTCAGAATTGAAGAGCGCCACCATTACTTCCACGTACCGATGGAAACTTGGAAATCGAGATAATTCAATGCTTGAGGGGCGAACTTACTGACCGTACAGACCGGATGATACGTGGTTCGAACCCTACCTAGTTATCTTGACTGTTCTTGTATGGGGTTGGGCAACTTGGAAGTATCTCAGCCCTCGTGATTTCTTCGGAGGGCATGGCAGCTAGGCACCGGAAGGGTGTTACAGTTGAACGAATTTATTTATTTTATGGAAAACGTGTCCGTACTACTCCCACCTATCAACAGTAGTCAGTGTTTGGCTCAGGAGAAACAGTGATAATAGTGGGATTCTAGTGAAGACTGTTTAGTGGCATTTGTATTGATGATGAATACCTAATGTAGGACATTGCTAAAATAGACAGGTGAAATATTGAATGGAGGCAAACAAACTAGGATTGTAGCGCACCCAACGTCATTAAGCTCAGTCATCACTTTTATGAAATCAGTCCTTCACAGATTAGGACTATACCTAACCAGGTCTATTCAAGTGCACGTCCTTCCTGAGCAACTGTGACTTTTCGAGATAACATTCACACCCACATCAATCTCGTCTGAACAGTCGCCCTCCTGTGCTGGCATAATCATTCTGGCGAATTCACACCAAATGGGAGAAGAACTGGACCCGAGTTTCGCTGTTATCAGATCATCAGCAGGGTATATCAAGGCCTTTCAGGGGTTTGAACTGCGGACATCTGACAGGCGAGGCGAGCGTGTTGCCACTACCCCACCTGCACACCCTGAAAGTACCCAAATTATCGTATCTAAATAGGTGATTCTGTTCATGCTTGAACGATGTGACTGATTTGCATGACCAGAACGACGACCCATAAGCTGTACTGGTTGTGTCGGCCAGGATTTCCCAGTTAGGTATTGGGAATTGGGATTTGTAGAAGTCACGTCCACAGTGAGGTTAATCGGAGAAGTCCTTTTAAGCATCATAAAAAGTGTTTTTGGGTTGCCGAAACAAGAAAAGTGCAGTATTGACTTGATCACACGAAATATACAATCACCTCCACGTACACCTCCGTGAATTTTCAGACGTCCACCACGTCTTCAGTCATTCCTTCAAATTATTGCTGTGATATACTAACCAGAATATTGTGCCGTGTAACGTACGATTGATCTGACTATTACCAGTCATTATATATTGTCGTTAGGTCCCCTTTTCATCTAATGTCGCTGTAAGGCTTAATCCCTTACGGAAATCGGTACCCAAAACCATCGAGACACGTCCCATTGAATCCGACTATTGAAGATGCTTTATCCCTTCCAGAATTCATACTGTTAATAGGTTGAACAACTCGAATCTTTGGAGTAAATTCCTCCCATTCTTTTCCACGATTTGTTTTTTCACTCGGTGCATTTCTCTATTTACCTTAGTTTTGTCTGCATTCGGAGTGCATTTAAAAATGGAAACTTCTCATCTTGGAGTATTTCAAAGACCCCGACTACTTTGAATAAATTGTCTTGGGACAATACTGACGGTTAGAAAGTTTCTCAGCTTTGAACTACCTGTTATCCGAATTTACGTGGTACACCTCAGAAATCTCGCTGCTCTTTGCTTTCGCAGTATCCAGAGAGATTTCGATCTGTTCGTTGTGGTCACAAGCCGGTCTGCCACTCAGTCCCATATCCTTATTGTGAACATGTTTTCTTGTTCAAGATCCGTTAATTGTGAACTTATTCAAGTAAGTCGCTGATCGGTTGATCCTCAAAACGCCTCACTGACGAGAACGATGTTCAGTTGAGACAATAACCCCGAAAATTGTCAAGAGCAAATCCGTCCTCCTACCTCATCCTCAGGAGACCATTCTACATAAGAACCGACCTTGGTTTTTCTCAATTTAGTAACGGTTCAGAGTCGAATAGGACCATATATGATATTCTTACGTTCAATCTAAGTCCATGTGTATTCATTGGCTATTTATACTCGAATAAATTAATTTCAGATTCTCAATCCCAAAATTAATTAAGCGTAAGTTGCTAGAGACGACTCCAATAACATTCTGCTTGCTACAGCCAATCTCCCAAATACTACGGGCTTTATCTTATAGTTCAGATCTTATTTGAAAAGATCATAATGAAATCAGTGAAGTTACTTTGTGTGTGCGCCGAGAAAACGCCGTCTTGTCGCGTTCACAGGTTCATTTGAATCTCAACTCCATGTGTTCAGCCGCTGTACAAAGTTGTTAGGTTGGAGGTAGAAAAAAGCTGATCACACGCATGGTTGTCCTCTTTTTATTCGAACACACCATAACTAGGGCGGCTTCGGCATGTGGTACTGCTTAGTATGTTGGCGTTACGTAACACACACACTGTTCATAGTGCATACATAGCCTCCCGGATTTAGTCCTACTGATTTCTTGTTGGTTTGATCCAATCAGTTCATATAAATAACTGTATTCTCTCTTATTACCAGTGGTAATTTCTAGTGTGTCATATGAATGACACTGTTCTCATTAGATTAGTTGTTACAAGCTCAGAGACATCTGAATTAAACACTGAAAGACCACATTTCAGGTTTCGATACCTACTATCTCAGAACCATAACTCGTGTAGGTTAATGCCGAGGAATTCGCGATAAGACGAGTAGAAAGTGAGTGTTCGGTTGTGCAGAGGGACTTCAAGCGAAGAATGGGTCCATTACCAGAAGCTGCCATGTGTTGAGAATGTCCACTCATCGTTTACCGAAGAAAATGTTTTCCCTGCAGAATTCAGCGTGGCGCAAGTAGAAAGGTAGTCAAACTTTGACCTAGCAGAGGGTTATGAAAGAGATTACGAACACTCCGGGCACTGCTGGTTCGTATTGCCTTCCGTGATGAGGTCAGCGATACATTGTGTTGCGATATGGGTTCATGTAGAACAAAAGGTTGACGGAAACTCGGGGACTGCGACCGTCTGATGATCTCCAAGAAGGGCGAAACCACTCTTGAGATGTCGAAGTGTTTTTAACAACCTTTTGAGTAGTTTCCCTGATGAAAATTCAACAGTATTCTTAGAAATGGTGAGCTATCGACTGCACTTGGAGCAGCTGTTTTGAATCATTAGGGTTCCGTCGCACTCTATGAAATTCAGTGAGTGAAGGATTGAAGTGAGTCGGTTCGGTCACAGACCACCTTGTCAGTGGGATAGATTCGTAGCAGTCCGAAGGTCACTTTCAGTAAAGATAGTACCATCTTCCGAAGAGATTACTATGAACATATCAAATGTGTTAGAGTGGTTATCAAAGCAACGTGATTAAATAATCTGGATAAGTTTTGGACAATTTATTAATGGCGTCCAATTGTCGCTAGCATGTCACTACACCTCATCTTAGATAGCCCGTTGCAAGCAATCAGGAGATACCATGCCTCACAAATGGTACCGAAAATTCTCACCGATCGTTTGTTAGTGGGTGACGTTATTGACTTGTTGCACAGTCTGATCAAACGGTTGATTTCACGTTCGCTACACACAATTCCCTAAAGAAGTACATTGTACCTGTTGGCTACTTCGATAATACTTATTAAATTTCGCCTTACCTACTGGACGTTGTTTCACCGGTCTTTCCATAGTTTCTATCCAGACTCTCTCAAGGAACACTAAGTAACGAATATACACTAGACCATCTGAGTACACTTCTTTCAAGGACCACAACTTTGATTGCATCACGTGAGACTTGGTTTTGAAGTTATATTTCCCAAGAGGTCGCCCCAGAACTCCAAGAAAGATCCGTCTCACGTGCCCCCGAGTAGTAGTTTATCTTACAGAAAGCAATGAAATGAAAATGAAAACGTGTGGACTGGATTTTCCAACTTTGTTGATTGCGTAACAGCCAAAGTTGGTCTTGGGGTTGTTATTTATTTTATTTTATTTATTTGTAGGACATACAGCTAAGGATGTCTTCCCCTTGAAAAAAACATGAAGAGGCCAGACGAAGGTAGCCTCTTCAAAGGTTGGTCTAAAAATAACCAGAGGTGAGCTTTTTGAGGGAGTGGTTGTTCCAGCACGATTTCTCTTGAACGAAAAAGTCGCATCCAGAAAGAGCTGGAAAGCTCACTGGAACTCGCACTGCGTAATTTAGAGTATATATTGGTGCCTACCAGTATTCAAGCACGCTACTATATTCCAACCCCTTGGGACATTTACTGAGTAGTGGTGCTTCAAAAATTTCGCTTTTCCAGGACTTCAGGGTGCACTATTCAAAGCACTTTTAGTTGTTTCCTTAGATATAGAAGCAGTGTTCCTACCAAGAAAGTAATTTTCAGAGAATATCATTCTTGATGTTCATGTATCAAGTGTCAAGTGCTGACGAAAAAAAAACCCACTGACAGGAACGCATGCATACCTTAGTTTATTCTTCAGACAGATGTAGCAAACTGAGATACCGTCACGGCATACTGCATAGTGCACAGATTACTTGTATTGTCCCTGGCCGCTTACGAATCAAGGCAGAAGACACCTGGGTAGCGGCTGCCGCAACAATGCGACAGCAGTAAAATTCTCGATGAATTGTCATTTCCAACTTTGGTTGCATCCCGAATGCCGTGGAAATGTATTCCTAGTGAGTCCACCCAACAAACTAATGCGCAACGCCGTCGACTCATGCGTGTGTTGAATGCTTGGGTAACTCACCTCAGCTGATTCGTCTACCCTTCAATAGCTAGTCGCAACAGGTGTGCCAGCGACCATTCACGTACCGTTGGCGCAACATCTACCACACAATCAGGTTTGTCTATCCGTAACCGCTAGAGCCTCTGCAACCCCCTCCCTCCGTTGGTCTCTATCCTCATCACACCCGTTATTCAGCCTGGCAGCGCGACAGTGTCCTTACTCTTTAACCTATCCTGTGTTGACCTTAGTGACTAACCCCTTTTTGGAGGTGACCTCCAACCACATCGACCCCAATGGAACATTTGCCAGCTTTCCTTTGTTCCGTCCCGCGAACGTGGTTACTTGGAGCACAGTATTCGCACAAGGGAATTAGATTTTCGAAAGCTATGACGTGTCCCTGACGGAAAAAAGAGACAGACAATTGATTTCAGAGTGCGAATTCAAACTTTTGATCCCAATCTAAGCATCTCGGGGTCTCAGCGATGCTAGGAAAGTATTCCACCAGACTTTTTCCGCAGAGGTATGATTGCTTCAGTGGACAATGAGATTTGGTGGCTGCGAAAATATGAACGTAGAATAGGATGATTTTTGGTGTGAGCACATACGCAACAAAATGCAATATTTTGGCGCAAAAAGTTCCATTCCACTCGCAAAGGTTTTGTAAGAGCACTGTGTGGCCAATGGACCCCAGGTTACCTGGTCTACGGTTGCTTCACTTCCCCAGAGGTTTGAAAATTTAGTGTTTATTGCCTATCTGTTGTGTCGAAATCGTTAGGACCGCGCAGCACTCAGCGCCCAAATCGGGGGTGTGACTGCGCCTTTCGCGTACAAAATTTGGCGTATACGATAGGGTTCATAACATTAATGAAGCGTCAGCATTAATCGCGATCGCAACATAATTGAAAGACGTGAATATCCTAATATGTTAGAGTTCTCTTACCATCTAGAGACATCAGCTGACTAAACTGAAGGCAGGACAAGGCCACCTCGCATGCACCGTGTTTCGCTTCTTCTGGTGTAGCATAGCAACGGTTAGTCTGGCACTGCATTCCCAAGTTCGGTAAAGCAACCTTGAATGACAGGAGACAAAAGAATAATGAAATTAATGAGTTGGGCCTCAAACAATTTAAGGAATTTAAGGTCAGCAGATGATGTGGCAAATCATTACAGGGTTCAAAGAGTTATGGCGGACTTTTGTTACCGTATCGCGGTTCATCACACAGATCCCGAATCTACACGGATATAGACTACGGTTTACCGAAGACAGCCCACTATTGATACTGTTCACCTTCACCAGGTGGAGCTCCTCAGCAGGTCATACGTCCATGGACACATGTTAGTGGGAGGCACACTGTCCCTTGACAAACGGAGGAACTAATTTACCCAATGTATGCTCTTAATCCAGTCAGCGACGTTTACAGCATGTAGATTGTCCTGTCAAATAAGATACCGGAAAATCGCAGCTAGTCACGTCTGTTACTAACCGGTGCCAAGCGTGTACGATCAAGCATCCGGATAACCGTGTTTACAGCATATAGATTGGACCTGCCAAATAAGATACCGGAAAATCGCAGCTAGTCACGTCTGTTACTAACCGGTGCCAAGCGTGTACGATCAAGCATCCGGACAACCGGACTGACTCAAAGTCGACACGATGTATGTAACCTCGCCACGCTATGCTAATTACGTGACTGTGATATCTACCACAGCACAACAACTACGGTGTTGTTCTCACATTTGCACGCGTCAGTACAGCCAACATAAACGGAAAGCTAGGTTTCGCGTGCACATGTGCATACTCGCAGCAATCAGCACGAACACTCTTACTCACACCTAGCCATCTGTTCGGCCTACAAAACTCGGTTTGATTACAGGTTACCTGCGTGTGTGTTGATAAATCTAATAATAATGTTTTCGTTCGTTGTCGCTCTTGTTGTCAACTGTATTGTCTGACATCACACCGACAGCGATAATGACAAAGTGACTTTCGGACACCATTAGGAAGGATCGTGACGATTACATCATACGGTCCCATCACTAATACCGCTCAACCATCGATTTTGTAGCCTGTTGTCTGTGAACGAATGGTCGGAGCGCTGGTAAATTCGGTAGTCATCTGGTTCGGTTCACAAGCATTGATTCGCAAAGGTTGGCTTACCATTATACATCGTCAGAACTGTTTCAAGAGTCTGTTCGATTGGTCGGACCAAAGTCCAGTTCCATCGAACAGCTTTGCTTCATATGTGTCAGCCGAATTTGTACTAAACATCGAAACCGAATAGCTAATAAACGGTGCATGTAAATCAATGGAGCTGCACTTGATCATATGGTAAGCCCGAGTGAGTAGGCAGATAATCCGAAGAAACATGGATCGTCGCGTACCTAGAACACTTAGTTTGCAGGCTGTGTTGGTGTATAACAGTAACAGCAATATAAAAATATTTGTTCCACCGAGCACTAAATCTCAGTGATGTGTGAAATACATACAGGATAGACTCTGGATCGATCAGATTTAGACCAGAAATGCCCAGAGGAGACGGTAATTGTCGGAAGCTACTAATCTGCGTCTAAAGAGATTCGTGATCAGAAGTGTCTAAACGCGTTTCGGTTATCGTGAGGTAGGACTGATATATATATATATATATATATATCAATTTTCACATTGAAACAAATTGTCAGCATGAGTAAAGTCTAGTCAGCTGGTTGGTTTGTCAATCCTGAATCATATTCCGTCAAAACTTGACTGCCAACTTTGTACTGCTAGGAGGGAGGTAGCTGAGACCGGATCAAACGCTACCTGCATACAGATATCCCAACCAGATAAGCCGAATGCGACTGAACACGACCGAATGCCGGCGAGCCACAAAAGTGATCGACAATGATAACCTTACAAAGAAGTCATGCATCCACCAAACTATCAGCTATTAGGGTCCCTAAACGCTAGTCAGAATGGCAACAACTTTTAAATATCGTTCCCTCTCCCCTATTTGGTAAGAACGATATGCTGAAATCGTTCAGGTGTCACAGGGAATATTGGGTGCTCTTTTGTCCTGCTACCTATGTAGCTGGCCGACAGTGATGGTGGACTAAACACAAAGTAAGATCAATAATACATGAAACGCACCTGTCCAATGTACAGCTGCAATTTATTGCCAGACGCACCGTCAACCAGCTCGACCGGCAAAACTGAAAAGTTCGGTGTATGCTGAAATCGTTCAGGTATCACAGGGAATATTGGGTGCTCTTTTGTCCTGCTACCTATGTAGCTGGCCGACAGTGATGGTGGACTAAACACAAAGTAAGATCAATAATACATGAAACGCACCTGTCCAATGTACAGCTGCAATTTATTGCCAGACGCACCGTCAACCAGCTCGACCGGCAAAACTGAAAAGTTCGGTGGTCCCCATCCAGCAAGTCGACTTTGTTCTTCCAATATCTAACATGGAGTATTGGTAAACGTGATCAGCCACCATTATGCATTACATGTGTTCGAGGCAAGCGACATACATGAGCCAGCGAAAAAGGAGATGCGCACGACAAGTGGAAACTACAGACCCAGTGCTGTTAGGATGTTATAAGAGTGTACTGGTGCAAGATGATAAGACGCATGCTTAGAAGCTGATCTTTTCTCAAAAAAAAACAGAGAAGAATCACACAAAAAATGAGGCACACCGACATGATTTATGCACCATTACTTGAAACAAACCTCGAAATAACTGAATGGATTCAGCTGCCGTTGCTGTAGTTTCTAAACAAAAGTGAGAGGAATCGACAAATTATGAAAGTTTTGATTCGCACATCCTATCAATATGCTATCCGTTAGGGCTTATTTCAATAGGTGCGTCAAGGAATCGATAGATAGCAAGATCATAGCTGATTAATTAAAATAGCAGTAAATCCGAAATAAGTATCGTGAGGCTACTGTAGAAGGAATTAGAAAACCATCGCCCCAAATCAGTATCACAGTAGCTAATGTAAGCATCATATTTCTTCCACTTTGACCTTAGGAATCGGCCTGTTCATGTTGCCTTGTCGACAACCATGGGTGGAGAACAACCAGAGTGATTCACATAATATCCGTAGGTGCTAAGCAATCTCCAGTCCAACAAAAATTGGTGCAGAGTGACAGAATTAGATTCACAACAATCAACTGGGAACAAGAAAGAAATCGATAGGCATTTATGTGGGATGACACCCTGGTTTTACTGATGGATTGTTACATGGAAGGGCACAATAGGAAAACTCACAGTCCAGCAAAGCTCTAGTGCGCAGTTTTGCTTAGCTCTGCCTCGACTTGTCCACAAGGTACAAACAAAATTGTAAACAAATGAACAACTTTAAGACATTGTACCAAATTAGTGAACGCAGGAACTAGAAAAGGGTAGAAATAGGCTACTACAGTAAAACCCTTCGAGTTTACCCCTAAAGGGTGAGAAGTCCTCTATAGCGAACTCTGGGCGGTCTGAGATACGCTTGATATCAATTTAGTATCGGTACCGTGTTTCTATCAGAATTTGTACGAATGGTAGCTTCATGGTGATATCGTAAGTTTCCCCCCTCTGCAACAGTATTAATTACACTGCCGAGCTTTTTTATTCAGGGTCCAGCTTCGGATTACTATGAGCTATATCGCGTCCACCTCTTTAAAGTGATCCTTTACAACTGGTCTCAACACCACTGAACTTATGGAGTCCCCAGTTCTTTTCGTTTTCGCTCAGGTTACTGCATCACTTTTGTCGTAGGTAAAAGTTATTTGGCTCTAACAAAATGACATGCACAACTCGTTCTTACAGCTTTCTTCGGACCGTAAAAATTGATTAGTAATTTATACACACAAACCTACATATAGTATGACCCTCCTGCAGAGCGACTGTAAATGGTCGTCTTAGAGAATGTTAGAAACGGTTACAATTTTCGTCAGTTAGATTTGGTAAAACTTATGCTCAATATCTGATTCAGATAGAGAACGACTCTCCCCTAGTTGTTGCTTGCAGAATTATGGGAGCGCATTCTGTATAGGCCTATACAGGCATTCCAAAATACCCATCATTAGTAGTCGGCATAAAGGATTTCTTCTCACTATAATAATCAATAATCTTAAAAGGACCACCTAAGCTTCTACTATCTACAGGAATCAATCAATCTGTCCAGAAGGAAGAAACCTACAATTCACATGAGGATCTGAAACCTGAGCAGCCAGTCAACATCAGGCTTCTGGAGGACTGCAGCTGGGTCTTGTTCGATCGTAGGTCACCCTCATCGCAGACTGTTCATTTTCAAAATCCCATCCGAAAAACTTCTAGTTAGATACTCTGGAGCTTCTCAGCTTTTCAGATTAGGTTAATTTCACCTGCACTACGAACTCCTGATCAACAACTTTAACTTCTTCCGAAAAATAAGGTAGCAGCTTAGATGAATCTGTTTGGTGCGACAATGACCAGCATTTCATCTCCGGATGCAATTTTGTAAACTTGCTACCGCCTGGGATAAAACAGCTAGGGAAGACATGTAGTGAGAACTATAAGGTTCGCTTCAGATATCATATGGACGACTGCAAAACAAGGTACTAGAGTGGCCTTCTTTTTTTGGAAATACCACAAAAGACAACTCATGTTTTTCTACTCAGATATGCGGTGGTTTGGTAATGACAAAGCCTGAAAGGGCGACAATGAAATAAAACCACGAAAACTCTACTTATAAATTACTCTAAAGTAAACGCCAATGAGACCACATTCGCATACGAAACTCCAATTTACTTGTTAATTTACTCTTAGTCTCTACTTGCTTGTTGGTTTGTGGAGTTCACGCGTTTCTATCTGGCATGCAAAATTCATATTGCGGGAAACTGATTCCTTTTGTCTCTAAAGCCCCTCCTAAGTGGATGCTCCTCCTGAGGAGGAAATTCGGCAGGAAACTCCTTTCATTCTTTGACGTGTCTCTCAGACGGAGGCTTCTTTTAAGGAAGAAGTACTCTCAAGTGATTACATTCGAGGGTCAGCTCTCTCCAAGAAGAGGGAAGAGATGCTTCAAGTAACCACCACCTTCTCCACCACTACCAACAGCAACATTCTTGAACGCCGTCACCCCTCTGTTTGACTGAACACAGTCTTGATGAGCAATAATAAAGGTTCATTATTAGCTTACTTACATCGCCAACCATAAATCAGACAAGCTAAACACGAACTTGGTATACAAAAACCGTCTACTCCGGACTCTGTTTCGCACCGGTTTGCAAAGTCTTCTGCCAACTGACTAGCAGCGTGTGCCACGCTAAAGGAGACATAGGAACAAGATTCATTTAAGTAGGCATGCGTAGCGCATGATTGTTGATGCTACTGGATGGCTTCACAGCCAAAAACGCCTTCTTTAATTACATTCCCTAATTACCATTCGAATGACAGAAAACCTCAACGGAATACGTTTGACTGTGACCATTCAGTGCCGGTGGTTTGGCTTGGACTACCAGCTCTCTGTAAAGTGTCAACATGCAAATAAATTATGAAAAAGCTAGTTTCAGTTCCCTCGCTCCTGGAAGTTTTTGATTTTACAATGTTCACATCATAAAGCCCTAATTCGTCTGTACATTCAGTTGTCATCTCTTTGGAAACATAAAATTGACACGTGCACATGATTCTTGTCTAATTCAATCCGGTCCGAAGAGATACACCGGAAAAGTTCGGTTGGATGCACTTCTCTGTTCCACTAAGTATGGTCCCAGTTTTATACTTGTGTTTTTTCAAGTACGTCACAATTCTCTCACCGAAAACCGGGCTAACAACTTACTGATGGTTCACGGGGAAATCAGTTTGTTTGCTATAACTTGGTCTAGAAGATGATCCAGGGACCACAGTACATTGCCTTGAAAGGTTCATCACCATGTCATCTGAGGGAACATTTCAACAAAATCCAGCTGACGAAACCTGGTAGTGTTGTCTTGACGGTTATGTTATACGTGCGTCCAGATTCTAAGGTTTAGTAAACAAAAACCTACGAGCAAAGTTTCCAAGACTTCCATCTGCTCAATGCCTACACACAGGCTTCCTGAGTTCCGTAAGTTGCCGACCAACACTCAGAACAGCAAGAAGGGTGGACTGGGAAATTCGGACAAACAGTCGGTTTGCTCATACCAAGCCAAAAGCAGGGACAGAAAGCTTGTGTGAGCCATCGCTGCCAAACAGTGCAGAATATACCTGTCGACTCGGATTGCTCCCAAGCTTTAGAATACAAAATCGATATTTTTTCATATGTAGAAACAAATCTGCTTGCTCTAAGTAAACTGAAAGAATGAGAAGGTTTTCTGAAACGATGTGTATCCGGGGTTTCTTTATTGATTACTCCATCGTTTATGATTTCAGTCAAATGTGCTTTGACAATTTTACACAAACCCGATTCGTGGAAATGCATACGAACACTGGCTTTGCATCAGTCCAGCTAGTTCTTACTGACGATTTTTTCAGACACAGCCCTCGTATTCAAGGTGAACTTATCTCTTTGTACAAAAGTATACGTCAGATATTTCTATCCCGTTATTATCACCACATGGAGCCCATGTTGCTGAAAATATGTCTGTGTTTGATAGCAGAATATGTTTTCGGTTTGGCAAAATGCACTCATTTGCAAACAAATTTGGTTTTTGTGAGACTCACCTGGAACCCAGCTTGAAAACATCATAAACGAGGGATTCAGCTGAGTTCCAGAGAAGTCTTTCGGAAAAAAATTGTTTGCAATGAGTGTATTTCACTAATTTCGTGCAATTTGGGTTCAAGTAGAACAAAAGATTGTCGGAAACTTTGGGAATGCGCCTATCTGTTGAGCTCTACTTACAAGGGACAAACTGGTCGTGGGCTGCCGAAAAAATTTCAGCAACCTTACGAGTAGTGTATTAAGTTTTCGGATTCCTTCGGTCGTGAATGGCCTAAGAGTGACGTGAAATCAAAGGTCAGCATGATTCTACCCTGTTTATCCATCCCTGTTACCTCGGTTATGAGAGAAGCTTACTTTGGATTGGTATCGGACTGGCGCGATCCGATGAAACCATGACAGCCATAATCGTATTATTTATTTAGTGTCCGTGTCTGAGCGAAACCCCTTTTTATTGTCATTCTGTTCGTGATGTAGACCACCGAGACGAAATCCATCATAGGTGAACGACCTGGTTGAGCAAAACATCACAAACGAGAGATTAATCTGGGTTTCAGGTGAACCTTTCGAAGAAACCAAATTAGTTTGCAAATGAGTGTATATTCGCTAGTTTCGTGCAATTAGGTTTCAAGTAGAACATAAGGTTGACGAAATCTCGGGGACTGCGCCTACCTGATGAGCCTCAAGAAGGGCGAAACCGGTCATGGTTTGTCGACGAATTTTCAGCAACCTCATGAGTAGTGCATGTCATGGCCGCAAACACTTCGGACCTTAAAATTTGACGGCTAACTCCGCGAATACGGAGTGGGACCTGGAAAAAATGTGTGAAAAATAACCCCATTTGCCTGTTTTTTTTTCGAGAGCTCAATGGTCTTAAGTACAGACGAAATACGTGCAGACTAAATAAGCCATTGGCTGTTTTCGTAATCGGCAAAATCCAGTACACACCACTACAGCGTCTATGGGTTTGGACGTTTGCAGTCAAGTACGTGGTCAACTTTTGAATCGCCGACAGCCCAAAGATAATACAGTGTGAAATTGAACCGTGCAAGCTCCTAAAGGGCACTTCAAGTTTATGCCCACTCATCATGCGGTTTGATGTTATTCTCTTCGACGCCCGTCGTCGTGAAAAATTCATAGCATGTGGTGAATGGGCGCAGAGTTCGACATGGCGTGAAGATTCTCTCTTGCACACCATGCATTCTGACCCTTCCATAACCTTCAAGACCGAAAGTATTCAATGCAATCCTGATAATCGTTTTGTACCAGAAAACGTCTTAACTAACTATACTGTCAAGGTCAAGTTACTGGACGGTTTCAACTAGAGATAAGCGCAGTGTGTGATAGGTAAACAGAGTGTCGTTCATATTCGCTCACCTCCACCGGATGTTTCCGATCTCGTTGAATGCCAGCGCTACGACTGCCTGCAGCATTTCGTCGACCCATTCGTGTGCCATTCAGCCTTGGTCCGCTTTTGGACAGATTAAAAAATCACATTAGCAAGGACAAGCTTTCGAGGTATTTGTTTACATCAAGGCAAAACTCAGTGCTCGAATCGACCGAAAGTGGGGCTACCAAGGCCAATGTGTACGTGTGTGTGTGTGTGTACGTGAAGTGCCAAACGCTCGATTATAGGACAGTAGGTCAGTAAAATAAACAAAGACACCATCATACATCGAATGATAACGTTTGGCTTCACGAAAGTTGATCAAAAGAGCTCATAGATGTTACGAAGTAATGATCAAAGTGTGGTCCAGTGAGGGTTTGTATTGGTGTGTGTCCATAGATTTTGTTTTTGGTACTAAGTTTGGTCATCATGAGGGTCACGGTTATGGCTCTTGGAAGTTATTCTTCAAAAAAGTCAACACAAGTAGATTGATTAGATCACAAGTAGATCAACCAAGAGGATAACCAAGGCTGAAATCCGTAGCTGTGTAGTCTACTGAACTCAGTATTCACTTCGTATTTATAGGGCAAAATATGAGTATTGTGAACACCAGGTAGATTGGTGTTCAATGAAAATCAATGAAGACGAAACTTTTCGAAGGTCGAAGAGAATAAACCGAAGTTCCCGTTTTTACTTTTCGATTTGACGGTTTCGTACAGCCCTGTAATGATTAGCCATTGTTCAAATACTCAGTGGATTTTTCTTGTGCTTCACAACGCTCGTATCAAAGTCCAGTGTTAAAGCACATTGTGTAGAACTATTCGAAATCTTTCTGTGTGATTATAGACAGTACCTTATCACTCCCAATAATCGTTTTTTTGCCCGAAAACTTCTGCTGACCCATCCGCATATGGATATATTCTTTTTGAAGTTGTCATTAGGTTTTATCCCTACTACATACGTGGAGGTATTTTCTGTCTTACTACTCCAAATCACGAGCTATCTCACTGCCTATGTGGCTACAGTCCAGCGAACGACTGGTTGAAGTTTGAAGAGTTCGACGTCCCACGCTGTTGTCACTATTCTGCTACTAACAGGCACGAACTTTAAACGCCACAGAAAAGTACAAAGATAAAGCGACCTCGACCCACCTCACATGATATGGTTGCTACTGCTATGTAACCTTGGTCTCCAATGTCACGGCTGTTTTCGCACAGCCTGCAACTTCAAACACTCATTCAGACAGTCTGGATAGAAAATGGCAACGAGAACGCCATTGACATCGACTAGCAGCCATAACTTACAGTGTCTACAGCTATGCACATTGGGAAGATCACGCGGACCCCATCACGGAAAATAAGACGAACCGACGGCACCCAAAAGTTTCGTAATCTCTTTCATACCTCTCTGTTTGGTCAACGGTTGACCACTTCTTTACTTGAGCAAGGAAATGGCGTTTTCTACGTTAAACGACAAGTTGGCATGCTGAATACATGGCCTAACCAACGCCGCTTCTGGTGCTGAACACATTCTTTAATGGAATTTACCGTTGCACAACCGAACACTCGCTTTCTACTTGCCTCGTTACGGATTCTCCGACTCCAACCCATATATGAACTATGGTTCTGGGACATCGGTTGTCGAAGGCCTGAAGAAGTCTCAGTTCCGCCCCTGGAAGGGGCTAAATATCACATCCATACAACAAAACAGCCCGTTTTGTATCCTGATACACATGTGTCTTGAGGTTCAGGGAGATGCCACTGCGCCGCCATGTGCGTCGAGGTAGCAAACAAGACCAGAATCTTAAAGAATCGTGCCTTGGTCTCACTTCTCACACTGCAGTCGACGCTTATATGCAGGATGCACTACAATCTCGAGGACCTTACCTACCATTGTAACTACAAACCCAGAATCATAACCTTACATTGTGTGGATTCAAAACTCACGACAAAGCACCAGACGGGTTTGGTTATTTCATCCAAAAACACCTGTGCGTTCTTTGTCTCTTTGAAAACGCGAACGATATCGTCTGCATATTTTAGACTGACAAGGTAATTTGAAAACCTGGCGTCTGTCTCACCATCTCGTTGGTCAAGTAACTCAATGGGAATGGAGACAATGGGCCAGCGCCAGGCGTCTCGTCACAAATGGAGTGAAGCTGATCCCTCTGTGGTAACTGCATTCGCTACGGGCCTCTTCTTTGGAAATGGGCATTATTACCGGTTCTCCTCAGTTGTCTTCTCCAAAATGGCGGCAGCTGATCCCATTGTTAAACAACACAGGTGGGAGACAATCTGGATCAGATGCTCGGTGGCCGCTGAGGGCAGAAGTACAATCGTGGACCTCCGGGGCCACGTGAGGTTCCAAGTTCACCGTCCAGGGTTCTAGTGCAGTCCAGGTTGCAACTGAGTGGCAGCGGGTGGTCAGGAGAACTGCTGTTAGTGTGATCGGCCCAGCAGTCAAGGACTCCTTCTTGATTGAAGACTTCCCAACTGGTTTGATCCTTGATGGAGGTTTTCGAGGAAAGGTTGCACCCCCAACACTACATAGGTGTTCTCGTTGGACAAAAGGTTATGCAGCTTTCGAAACGTAGATCAGGAAACCGGATCCTCACCAGATTATTTGCGGTGCTTGCACATACAGTTTTTAGATTCTACTTAGTTCCATAGTTTAGCCTGTTTTATAATATACGGTTTGGGCGGTCGGATAGAGATACTCAACAAGAAAGTCCTTGATGAGACCTCACTCTGTTTTAAGGTTCAGAACGAGTACGTCTGTTATTAGGAGGCCACAGTTCTGCCTTCCAAGTGACTTGCCACAAAGGATGTTTCAAGGTGTCCTAAACTTATTTGAATTAAGAGACAAATATTTCCTATGAATAGATAGAACAAATGACGACTTACTTAGCTAGGTTGAAGACTTATCCACAGACCTCGGATTTTGACTTCCCTCCAAAACATACCACCACTAAATCATGGTTCGATGCTGAGACAGCAACCGTTGAGACTCGGACCCATCTAACTATTTCACACGGGTATCTGCTAGTCTACACCACTCTCTGACAAAGAAGTTTCTAGGATGTTCGTAAAAAATGAGCACGTATTCTGCTTTAGTGCGATCTAATGTTCATTTAGCCACGGAGAAGCCTATCCGTAATGGTACGAAGTTGTTAGCAAACACATCATACATCAAACAGGTGCTCAATCAGTCAGTATTACACACGCTTCGAGAGGTTATCGTTCACGGGTTTTCCATAACTATAGCACGACAGACTTTCGAAGGACAGTGAATTAGAATCCAGGGTTATACGTATCAAAGTGGCTGAGAATAAGGCCGTCAGATCCGAAATGGAAACACGTCAAGATTGGCTCAGTGAAAACGTTATTCTCACACGTTTTCCTCAACGGAAACACTGTTCATTATCGAGATACTTCAGCATCTGTTAAATACGTTAGTTCGAAACAAGCTTTTCAAACTGTTGAACATTGTTCTCATCATCACCATCATCATCATTATCATCATCATCGCCATCGTCATTGTCAGCTGTAATAACCGCATACTTGTACAGTGGCTGTAGCTGCCGCAGTTTCGTTCACCGGTGATTCGAGGAGGTGGGGTAGGTAGCTGCGCATTGGAGGCGGGAGCTGCTAAATTAGTGCGTAAATACAGCACTGTAGGTGGACTGTTAAGTGGAGGGATTGGGAAGGCAGCTATGCATTGAAGGCAATAGCTTGGATGCATGAGTGCCATTGAGGGAGTGTCTGGGCCATGCCTGACAATGTCTCTAGCCATTGATGTAGCCCGTCTCGGGGTCGCCATCCAGGAAGACGGCAGTGTCTAGTGAAGCTGGGTTTGCTGGTAATGGCTTTCATACTTCGCTGCCAAGTCATTGTTTGAACGCCTCCGGCTCGTTTCCACCCTTCACCTGGTTGTGCGAAAAGAGCCCTTCGAGGAACTCGGTCGACTGGCATACAGAGCACGTGGCCAAGCCAGCGCGACCTATAAACTGTGATCAGTTCATCTATAGAGGGTGAGATATTTCTCCCGAATACCATTCGACGAACTTCAGCAGTGTTCATCCGGTGTTCCCATCAGACTCGGGCAATGCTCCAAAGACATCGATGGTCAAACACTGAAAGTCTTTTGACGTCCCTGGTGGGCAGCGGCCAGGTGTCTGATCCGTATGGTGATATGGACCACACCGCAGCATTGTAAACTCGACCCTTGACGGGTAAGCTGATGTCACGCCTACGCCACAGTGACGCAGGTTCATAAGAGCTGCTCTGGCCTTCCCAATCAGGATGAAAATATTATCTTTCGCGAGACCACCAGGACTGATACAGCTGTTCAGGTAGACAAGTTTGTCTACTACCTCAATTGGTTCATCCGCAAGCATGGGGCTAGGGTTAGAGCCAACCCAGTCTAGCAGTAGCACTTTACACTTTGCAGGTGTGAAGCGCATGCCGAAACGTGAGGCCGAATTATCTAGATTATTTAATATTGTTCACATTACTACAGCGCCAGATCCCAGAAGAGATAGGTCGTCTGTATACTAGATATCTTTGAGCGGAGGCCCCGGGAGCACTTCGACTCCACAGGCATTAGAGGCTGATAGTGAGTCTTCCAAGGCCGCATCAATGACGAAGTTGAAGAGGAAAGTTGAAAGAGGATACCTCTGTCGGACACCACCTGATGTGAAATCAGGCAAGAGCTTCCCGCAGATCTTCACACGGCCGCGGGAGTTGGCGTATGGCGCCTTAAGGAGTGAATAATAAATAATAGATTAGAAGGAGCACGGTACTCGAACTTCGTACACACCGAGGGCCTCATAGATATCTTTTCAGAGTGCAAAGAGTAACCGGTTAACCGAAAATGCATCCAATGTAACCAGGTTACTCTAACCGGCCTGAAGACATTTCATCTGATTAGAAAGTACATTTTCTACTGCTGCCTATAACCCTACTCAACACGACTTTTGAGCTATTTTGACTCCATCAAGACGGATCCCCTAGTTCGTCTACAAATCCTAGAATTCGAACGCCAATGAGTGCACTACAAAGCAAAGACTACTGGATAAAGTGCATTACTTGGGTGAACCATTTTTTGGAGTCTAAGTGATTCATTTTATTTACACAATCTAGGACACCGGAAATGCGCCAAAAGAGTATGAAGTCATCACAGCCATGCCACTTCAAAAAAGCGAAGCTAGCGGAAGCTGGACAACCTTCGAGAAATCGGTCTTCTCCGTGTTACAGACAAAACCCTGACACTCTTGTCTAATTGGTTCTGTTCAGTTTTTTGGACTCCGACAGTCTAGAAGTACAAACTGGACGTCTTAGCAAAGATAGCCTCACTGCCAGAGCTTCGGACGCAAGAAATATACCGGGCATTTAAGTAAGCTACGTAGTTCACTTTCGTAAAATGAAGCTTCAACTCAGTGAACAGAGAAGCATTGCAGACTTTTACCCAAAAGTTCTGCTATCTAAAAAACGCTTTGCATTCTCAAACTCCCTGCTCAGCACTAAGATCTGAGCACGCACTTGCGTGCTGAGTTTAGAATCGACATAGTCAAGAAACAAAATTGCGTTCTGGCTCGAACTTTCCTTTATGAAAACTTAATAAAAGAAATTCCAAAATACAGCCTACCTAATCAGTACTATCCAGTTGATCATTTCTGCAACTCGAAATCTCTCCTTGTTAAAGAGGAGCTGCATGGTTTGAAACTCCGTATGCTGCAAATTTGGAGGCGAAATTCCAGGTAGTGGTCACTTCAACTGACTTTGGTCTTAACATGAATGCCCAACAAACACTTAGCTATTTAGTGGCTTTCATTGGGTTCACAACCTCAGGGTGGACAATGGTTAGTGTGATGAATTCTTGTAAGGCCAAGCTAAACGTTGCGTTTGGTTATTTGGTTTCGCTTAGAGCAACCACAAACAGCCCGTGCTAATCAATTTCGCAGTGCAGCTGGCTTTTTTACGCTTCTACGCGTGTTTTCTGGTCGATTATGATTCTTCTGTCTCTAGCAATAGGAGCAGTTTACATATGACGCCAAATTCGAGTCCGCAAAGACTGTCTGAGGTTTACTCGCAATGCTCAGAGCCAGTTGTTGACCGGATGCCGGCCGATCATTTCATATTAGTGACACTACCTTAGTATGACTTTAGACTCTAATTTCAGTTCACCATATCGTTGCTGAAGACGGTCATCCTTTCTAGGGTAAAGAGCTTCCAGTGAGAGACCAAGTTTAGTCCGTTCCAGGTGAAGTAATACCTTATTTGGATTAGGCCTATCGAAATCAGCCTCGACTTTGTAAACTGTGCACAACTGCGGACACCTCTTGGCCAAAGCCTAGAACGTACTATTGCACGCCGATATGACTAGGGGTTAAATGTAAGATTCTCCCTAGCACCGCCGGCATCCGGAGTTTCGGTAATTACCCAGAATACCATTGTTTCGGTATGTCAGTCACTGTTACCGATAAATTTTTATTTGTTCTGTTAAACGACAGCTAAACTTAAGAACTGAATGATTATGATGGTTAGGGTGAGGTATCTCTGAAGACTGTCAACAAGATGTGCTTTGTGCCGTCCAACACTCTTCTTTGCATTACAGCTGACGTTTGCTTAGCTAACCTGAAACCTCTCCCATTGCTCGTGAAGTGAATCCGAAACAAGGTCTTGTAAGCTACCACATGACGATTTGGTTTGGGGGACCATGAGGATAGTAATTGTGAAGTGGAGCAAAACTTTAATGCACAAACTGCCGGCCTACCAGAACGAGTGGTGGGTAGCTAACGCTATCTCTGTTGACTTTAGATCAATAAGGAACCCCACAGCAAGTCGTCGTCTTAAATGGCATAAAGCTGAAGGAATTTGGAGTCTTAAGGCAGTAGCTGGAAAGGCCAGCTATAAAATTTTACAATAAACGGAATAATCAAAACACTTACCCAGGGCTTCCGACACTCACGCCGGCTCCAGGTGGAATCAATGCAGACGGATTAATTGATAAGATATCAGAAGCAACCGGTTGTTGTCCAACAGGAGGTAATAAAAATGAGATTGCTGGATCCAAATGAGGCATGAAACCACCAACAGCCGCCAGGGTTGCCGCATTAGCTCGTGGATCCAAAAGAAGCGGATTATTGGCACGGATATCTTTGCCCAAAGCCAAATCGTTCAACAGTTTACCAGAGTTCGACTGTTGTCTAGCGTTGGCTTCGGTTTTGTCTACCGGTTTGGCCCAAGTTACTTCAATTTTTGAGCCATCGATCAGAGTGTCTGAAAAGTGAATTGTAGCAGACACATTCTATTAAGGCTCAATGGAAAAGTTTATTGCCACAAGGGGTCAGTGAAGGCCATCATGACCACCACACATTCATTTCCTTTAGTGTCTTCTTTGATGGTTTGCCGTCATGAACTTGGGCCGAACCCTGTTTGGCTGTTGTATAGCTGCACAGCAATAATGCTCAAGAAGTTCTCGCTACCTGTCAAATGTTGCTTTCCTCATATAATATAACAACCAACGAAAATACCCACACTTTGTCCGGAAAAGAACAAATACTCGAGGTAGTATGTAGTAGACAGAACGTAAAAACGGATGTTTTGGGTACGCTATGATTGTCAGTCTGTACTTACTCGAGCGTTGACATGAATAAGGATATGCTACAAGCTTTGCATGGCAAGTGATTCTGTTTACTTAAGCGGGGCTGACAAAAACGTTTTCGTTGGTTGCGGGGTTTGTGTAATTCACGTTTGCATCACCCTCGTATTAGCGGTCGTTCTCCTGTCCTGGAGTAGTTGTTATGCTAAATCCACGACAAACAGAGAGCACTAGACTTTATTTTCACTCATATTATAGCTCATCAGCCGTATACATCCGTGATCATCCCAGGGTTTGAGCTCCGGACATCTGATATGTGTGGTGCGTGTCGGGCTTATCAATCACATTACTCAATCGTGAACGAAATCGCCCGTTCAGACCTAATTCAGATGGGTCCAGCGTGCGCTCGTCAGATGTCTGGAGCTCGAAACCCTGGCAGGGTCAAGGATATACACTGCTGATAACCTCTATGGGGAGCGGAACTCAAGTCCAGTGCTTACCCCATTCCTTGTGGGCACACCAGGATGACTGTCCATATGCTAGTGATGTGAAAATAGAAAATTTTTGTGTACATTACGATAATTACCACATAATAGTATCTTACCATTTAGAGCCTCCAGACACCTGGCGGCTTGTTCTCTTTCTTTAAAATGAATGAACGCGTAGTCGCTGATTTTCTTCACCCTCTCAATACAGTTGGGGTCACCACCAGCTGCACAGACGAAATGCTCCCGGAGACCATCTTCTGTGGTGGACAACATCAGGTTGCGTACATACAATATCTTCACCTTTTTTTCAGATGGATAGAAAGTGTTACCGTGAAAATGAGTGGATTGTTAATGAAAAAACACGGTGATAAATAGGTTGAGATTATTTTACTCGCCTACGGAACTATAGAATTGCATCTTATCAAACTACCTCTGATTTTACATCTGTTTCTCCTACAGTCAAGAAAAAACAGATTCTAAAATGAAGACAATAATATCTAATGAGAAAATTTTACCGTAGCAAACTAAGATCCTAGGCCATATAAATTCCTAGATCATAGATCCTAGGCACATAAATTCTTAGATCATAATATCTGGTTGTTTCTCGCAAAACAAGAAGTGTTCGCACCAAGAGTTCAACACCAGTGCTTCACCTGTGTAGCCATTAAAGTAAAAGTTTCAGCTCATTGACGGAGGATGATAAGGTGTCAGAACATGACCGAACAAGAGGTAGGACAAAGACAGTTTTCAAGCCATCATTCCAAATTCTTGTTACTCGAAGGAGACGTTCCTTCTGGTCTCTGTCCTGGATATTTTTAATTCAAAGCTAGATTTAAGTCCACATCCGGGAACTCACTTCTGATTCGTGAACATATACTTCACTTGGATAGGGTAGCAGCGTTGGTATAATTTGATTGAAGTACGACTGTGAATCAACAATGTTCAACACAAATAATAATGGGCTACAAACTAAAACTTTGCGAAAACATCATAGCCATACTGTAGTTGACAAATTAGCAAGATATGGTACCGAGTGTTTTCCCGTTTTTCACGATTCCCTGATGCTGTCTAAATGAGCCCCACGACACACCGGAGGGTTTTATCTACCAGAGGAGACCGCTCTTTGTCATTGGTTTTGGGTGCTTTTAAGAAGGTGCTGATGTATTCCATCATTCTGCATCTGTTTGGGAAAAAACAACCGTTTCTCCAAACCGGACGGATCTCCGCAGGTCGGACTACCTATGGTGAGTCTCCTGTGAGCCATCGACTAATCACTGTGCAAAAACTTGATCCACTCGGCGCTAATGACATTACCTCACCGTCTACACGAGACGTTCGTTTGGGTGGTAATTATCCATCTGTGATGACCTCATCAATCAGTAACTTTTCACTTTTGCTCTTTTTGGGTTCCAAACCGTATCTTCTGTGCGAGACTATTCCCTACGTGTTAAAACTCTTCCCTCTCGAACGCAACACCAGGAAGAACACTAGTGCCGTACAACATCGTGAAGGCGTTTTGAAGATAAAGCTATCTGGAACTCCATCATTTCCTCTAATCCTAACAGAGATTAGATCTTCATACTCGTACGTATACTACTCTCGTCCAAACAGTCCTGGTTCTGTCGTGGTGGAATTATGCTGGTTGATCCGAACCAAAAAGTGGAGGCACCGACCACGAGTTTTGCACTCGTTGGAAATTATTTCCCGTACGAAATATTGGCCGTGACACTATTTGAACCCTGTACATCTGACAAACGAGACAATTGCAGTGTTGAGATACAACTTCTAGTCAGCTTCGCTGTACTAATTACAAAAACGATCCTTTAGAACCTGAATATTCGCCAATCCGAAATTCGCCACAGCTTTTATATGTAGGGAACGTGGAAAGAATTACCACCCGGTTCTATTCACATTGGTAGCTGGTCGAAAGTGTCCAGTATGTACTGAAACAACAGTCAATTAGCTGGATTCCCTGAACTATGACAAATTATTGGATTTTAGTAGAACCGGAGGCGTCGACTTGAGTTAAGGCATCGTCTACACAGGGCAGAAGCTCGTACATCTCAGTGACCTTCAACTGATCAATCCTGGATTGTCTGGTTTATCCGAAGTCAGGTAAGAATAAAACAACTCACAGTGACCATCAAAAAGGTGTCGTTTTAATGGCGTGCACGCTACAGAAGTTGGTATAATCAAGCTCTTTTTCCTTGAAGTGAAATTTCTGATTGTAAGACTATGTTGATTGATTTGGCCTAGAGATTTGGCATGACAGGTTTTCCATTGCTGCTTTTATTTATGATAGGAGAATGACCAGAAGTAGCTACTCGCTTGAGGCAATCAATGTTAAGGTACTTAAATGGGATGTCCGCTGTTCTACAACCCTAAACCAGCCAGGCCCTCTTTCCACACCGCGTTTCACCCAAACACTATAAAGCGTTGTTAGAGGCCCACAGGACTGCATTTTCTGAAGGATCATTCTGATTTGCCTATGTTGGAAATCCAAACTCAACAGTGTCCACAACCGGGAAGACGGACAGCTCCAAGAGAAATAAGATTTGGATATCAGGCCCATGACCAAGTTCGTCACAGTTTCTTTTCCCGGACCAAGAGGACCTCAGAAGAAAGCTGTCATGAGCCAAGCTGGCCAGATAAAAGGGACATCCACGGAAAGGGCCCAGAAACAGCCTGGAGAATGCTTTTGAGAAAAGACGGGCTTCACTGACAGGCCAAAATCTCAGTTGAAATATTCAAACTGTGAAAGGATTGATATCGAAGACATTGCTGATATCTTAGTTTGACTTCTTAAATGAAGAACTGCCTTGTTTGACTGTATTAATAATAGAAAGAGTTGGTAAAGGCCATTTAGCCCGCTTTCCTAAGCACCACTTGTCACCTCTTGAATTGCAGAGGAAGTTGTTTCAATTTCCGTAAACCAAGGATCCATGGATCAGCTGAACAGAGGTTCATTTTAGGAGTGCAGGAAACGAGTGTTTCGTTAGAAAAAGCTGAGTCGGATACCGCAACTATCAGCAAACAGGTATTGCACAACAGCCTTCAGACACGGCAGAGAAACTGATATCCATTATTTGTTGTGTAGAATCAAGATAATCAATCTCCAGAAGACATTTTGGAAATTGAGGATGCATTTAATCAGCATGCTGTTGTCACGAAGTCGGTCTCGTAAGTTACCTGTCCATTAGTGTTAGTATGTTGACGCTGGACTGGAAAATGTAAATTTTCTGGCAGAAGATACGGAACAAGAGTCATAGTCTATCAGCGTGCTCACTACAAATACACCCTATTATATACAGGTGCATTCTAACAAAGAATTCATCTTCAAAATACAGAGTTTGTCCTGTCAGTGAAGTCAATCTATTCTGAAAAACCGAGAAGCACTGTACAGTCGTTCCAGCCTTAGGAGTTCCGGGCCAACTTCGGCTCGGATAGTGTTAAACAGATTGAATGCACTGTGGTGTACACTAAGGAACTTTTACAGTCAAAAGAAAGCTTAGTGGAATAGGGTGTTATCATCCGACGTTTGGGTTACCATATGAAACCTTTCTCAAGGCTTTCTAGGACCATTTGAATGCGAGTCAAATGCAGCGTCATTTGGGTCCACTATCATGTCTTCTAATTGGTGTCAGACTTTAAAAATTCCATAGTTTTCATCCTTGTTGAAGATAATTAGCAGTGAGCCTCTCAGGAAACTCAGCTTCGAACGTGCAACCACCCGGCCATTAGTTGAACACTTAACCGTTTGGCCACGAGAGACTGATCAGGAGTGTGATAAGCTCTCACTTAGGACGTAGCGCCGCCAACCCTTCAGTCACGGAAACCATATCACCACCATATCTCCACCGTGTTTTTTGGCTCACTGTTCATTGATAGTTGGTGGTGCTGTTGGTTACACTAACTAGCAATGTAGTGAACAACTCATGCATGAAGTTGATGCATCACACTCCACGGTGATGGTGGGAAACTCGTAGGATGTCACAAAACAGTTAGCATCAAATTCGGTGAAACAGCCCATTTCAACAGAAAATATTCTGCTCGTAAATGCCGTGAGCTCGGGGCATGAGACAAAACTGTGTTTGCTGAGTGTTCAGGTTGCTTGCTGCTGTTGTTTGTGATAGGCCGCCCTGCCCACCCATAGGAACATCTAATTTCGTGGATATTCCACACTCGGATAGGTTCTTGGGAACTTTCGTATGGTCACATTTCTGGCCTTCATGAACGTTTCGACCAACCCGGTTCGCCCATCTGTGGACAACTTTCGATTGGTCGCAGGACACTCGGTTTTGTTGGTTTGGTGACAAAATCATGCAAGATCATTTCTTATTCCATTGCACCCTCACAAACAAGCGCAAATTGCGGGGAGAAATTAGAATCCTAACACGTAGGTGAACAGCATCGATAGGGTAGTGGTTTAATTCCGGAGACAATCTTATCCACGCAGTCCGAAGGAGTTCACTGGAATTCTTGTTATCTATTGTCCTGGAATGTGGGTTCAAAACTTGTCTCAGCATATGAACTTTGGCGTCGTGCCAATGTCCAGTTTGGCTCTTTTAACTTCTTACGATGGTTACCTTTGGGGATCAATAGTTATGGAAGCAGCACTTAGCAGCCACAAAGGTGTGGCTTTCCTAATAAGTGGAAATCAGGTGAACCTTTCCAGCTACCCGGGTATCGATATTCATTGTAAAACCTCAGCAAAATCAATTGAGGCGAGCTTTTCTCTGTACCATTGCAGGTGGATGGTATATGATCAGTATTACTTACATTTGCTGTCATTAGGTACGACTCTTGATTAATTTTAAGGTAACTGAAGATGTAGTCATCCACAGGGTGCCGATTGAAAGTTGGGCGTTACGGTTCATCAGACGTTCAGACAACTCTCTAGCACCGACCTATAGCCTTGTGAGACACCTGGTAGCCGACTGCACGCGATGATTGGATATTCAGCTGCTGAACCTAGCGGGGACCTTCTACATATTGGTTTCTTTGTACTATCATTGGTCTGTTCTTTTCTCGGTAGGTGCTACTGAACACTACCCGGGTGCAGCATCCGGACGTGAACCTGACGGCTGTGAAGAGATCTAGTGGGCTCCCAAAAAACCGAAGGTATTTTACCGTCCGTCTAAATTAACATTGATGATAAAAACGCTTATGCAGCTTTAATAAACACACTTTGGTACCCTTTACCAGCCACCCCTTCAGCATTATTTCTATGTACTGGTTACTTCACAAGCTATTCCAACTCACAGGGAAGTTTACTGTAGATACTTGCAGAACGCAACAGT